AAGTAATTGAAGCGCATGAACCAGTCGTTTTTTGGCACACAGGTTGGGGAAAAGTAAGTGAATGGGGATGACCAGTGTCCAAACTCGGGCCACCTTCGATCGATTGAGTAGGATGCAACAAACAACATGGAGAGCTTTCACCGGTTTGATCTTGTGTCCGGTGTCTATGACATGACGCACGATGGCACTTGAGATGTATCCGGTCTTCCCTTGACTTAACCATCGCGGGTGTTGCTCCTTAGTGCTTTGAGACAAACGCCTTATCGTACGACCTATGTAACATGCGCCACCGATACAATTAAAGAGTTTGTGATTCATTGCAGCTGAACACTGTGGAGTTTGAGCGGAACTTCTTCCACGGACAATATATTGTTGACCACACTGGGCACATCGGGGGCAGAAAAACTTCTATCGTATTGATAAAGTCTCCACTTCTACAAAAGACAACTGCCTATAAGACAAGTTATGCACAAATCGTTCTGGTTTATTGGGAAAAGTTAACAGCTGTGCAAACCTATGGGAATCCCGCAATACAGGTGCAGATTTGGCTAACGAATTTGGTGAATTGTAAACGTTGCTTTTCTGGTAAATCATCAACCTCATGTTTTCGATGGAAGTCGTACCGCTCAAACCCCACAGTGTTCGGCTGCAATGAACCACAAACTTTTTAAGTGCATTGGTGGCGCATGTTACATAGGTCGTACGATAAGGCGTTTGTCTCGAAGCACTAAGGAGCAACACCCGCGTTGGTCAAGTCAAGTGCCATCGTGGATCACCTCACAGAAACCGGACACAAGATCGAACCGGTGAAAGCTTTCCATGTTGTTTATCGCATCCCACTCAATCGATCCAAGTTGGCTCGAGTTTGGACACTGGTCATCGCCGAGGCGATCGCCTATCGCTAATTTTACTCAAACCTGTGTGCCAAAAAACGACTGGTTCAAGTGCTTCAATTTCCTTGGCCCGGTGAGAAATGCAAAACAGAACAGAGCGTATCTCTTGACCTAAATGAAGAATGGTCACATCGATTGACACAGTACTCGTTCCGACACACGCACACACACCCTTCTCCTTCCTCCGATCCCGATTAATGACCTGTAATTAAAACCATGGCTGTCACTCTGTAAGCATTTCGTTCGCTATATGATATGCACGAATATGACTAGAAATATCCGAAAACGGTCGTTCCCTCACTGACTCGTTTTCTCGGTGCCATCATAAGAATATTCAAACCGCAAATTTTAAATCAAAGGGTAGCCGAAAGATAACAATGAAACCCAGAAACATGGAAGTTTAAAAGTCCATGATTGTTTAAGTTGAATTGAATCCAGTACACGACTCAGGGAGAAGACTGTTAGAACAGACGGACCTGTGTCCCCATTTGCATAGCAGATATTGCCAGCTCCAACTTATCTCCTGAAGTCTTTTCACCTTATAATACACCATCAATTGCAACCATTTCTCATATCTTTGACTAGCTCAATTGTACGCAATGGCTGACTGTAGCCGAAACAATGGTTTGAGCTTTGGAATATGCAGCTTGATAAACCATTATGGTGTACAAAGCCACTTACAAATGTATGACCAGGCATAATGCGCAATAAGATATGGGATGGCCAGAGACAGACCAACGCCGATTAACAGTGGTGCGGCCTGGGAAAAGATTCGCGGACATCGCACATTGTGGCGGTACTGGATTAGCTCATTTTGCATTGCCTCCAAGCGGCGACGGAGCCACCAGGATGGACCAGCCATGGTGATAAGTACGATCACTTTGAGGTGCATGATTCCGAATATCCAATGCTATAAAAAGAAAAATAGAACATTCATTAAAAGTTAAGAAAAATGCATAAGTCATAGGTGTTGGATATTAGGGAGCAACCGCTTGATATGAAATTGATATATAAACGCGCTATGCGAAAGAACATACAATGTGACTGAACACTCAGTACTCTGGAGAAAAGCTGATTCAGCATGCTGCTACCAAGTAGATGGAATTCTGGGGAATAGACGCTTTGGAAATAATGTGGAATGATTGTAGCTCGGGATACGGATGTAGCTGTCGGTGTGTTCTTCCAGCCGAAACTGTTGTTCGAAGACGTTTTTTAGCCAGGCTAGACAACATCATCAGTGCAACTTCGGGGAAGCGCCAATTCTCTGTGCGACCGCGCTGATTTAGTTCTGTTAGAGGGTTTTGATTGATTGTTTGCGTCCCTTCGATCCTACTGGCTAACTGTGGCCATTGGTTGTGATTTGATTATTATGGTGACGTCCCCGCTATCCCCATTCGTCGATTGGCTTTCTTAGACTAATTGCAAACCAGTTTCAAACAGGTTAGAACTGGTTCTGGGTCGGTTTCGGGTCACAAACATTAACAAACTCTTTTTCAGACTATGACAATGCCGTTGACTACTTTGACATGGTTGAAACTGGCTAAACTCATGGATCGGTTTTTTAGTTCAAACAAATACAAATTCGGACAAACAACACAAGGTGTAATAAGCGTCTGTTCTATATCGTACAGGAATTAACTCATTCAATCTTCAAACACCTTCAGAACAATGTTTGTTTCTGTTGTGTTTTTGACCGTAGACTCCAGTTCTGGTGAGCACGTTCAATGAGCATTGGAAACCTGTTTCATCTTGGTTAACTCTGATCAGCAATGCACATTGTTTGCTCTCATACCGCGCTTGATAGCTAAGACCGGAGCGGGACTCAAAACCGTAATCCCATGATCGAAGGCTAACGCGTTATGGATCGGCTACATGATTCGAAAAGGCACGTACGATTTTCACCACGCAGGAGGAAATAAAACTTATTATCATGTATTTTCTCTACCGCTTATCCAGACGAGCGGATGGAGATCAAATGGGATTGTGAAGAAATAATGTGCGTTCAACTACAGTTTTGCTTTATAACTATGCAACTGGGATCCAGTGATGATGATGATGAGATATCTATAGAAACGGTTTNGGTTTTCACTGGTCAATGCTGAATGCGATTAATCGATCTGCGACACTCGCAGTAAAATAAATTGATTACAGTCGGTGGAGTCTAAATAGACTGCAGAACAACAGAACTCTGGTATGTACCGCATGTGCACAGCTTACAGACGCAAACACATAGCGATACGTTTGGTTCCTTGTAACATGTTGTATACGTGTGTTGACTAGCAAAAGCTAGTGCATGCTATGACGCATACAGCCTGGCCGTTCAGGACGGTCTTCTTGGTGGTCAATTGACAGATTTAAGGTATCCGTGTTTGGTACAATGGAATAGTTTGTGCGCGAAGATGGGCATTAATGTTCTACCGGTCGGCTTCACAAGATTCATGCGCCAGCCGACGTCGCCACATGCCGGGGAACCCAGACTGCTGCAGGTGACCCTGAAAGATGATAAGGACTTGGAGGACGTCCTTCTTTCTACTTACCTTCTCAGAAAGAGTTCCTGCCCAATAAGAATCTTCCCTGATAGGCCATGGACGGAACGAATGCAGCAACAGTCCGATCCAATGAGAGCACGAGCGGAGGAAAATAAGAGGGTCGTACTTCTCCATGGTGTCCCGCAGTTGGACGATCCGAATGAACCAAAAGGTCATCAGAACGACCGAAAGGAATGGCGATTCATTCAAAATCTACTTGAGTGTAGCGACGTTTTGACAACTTCAATCAGTCGTCTTCCCTGTTCACCACATTACCGTGGTAACGATCCGAGGATAATGAAAGTTACCCTTGGAACTCCAG